GTTGGTACCTTGACCATTACAAAACACAGCCAATGTGGCCGGAATATTACAAGTGTGATCCCTCACCGTATTACACAGGTTCGTTATTTATTGTAAGCATTATCCATGTCACAAGGCAATCTCAAACAATTTGATCTCAGTTTCAAGTGGAAATTTGATGGAAATATTCTGCAGAAAAGTCTCTAATGCGGTTATCTTGAAATTTTGAAGAGTGATGATTTTGATTGCAGAAAACAAGTTACCAGTAATTGTCGTTAACATTTACAATTTCAGAAGCAGAAGAGAAAGGCAAGATTCTAGGAGGTGAGGCTTGTCTCTGGGCTGAATACATCACTACAGATACTATCATGTCCTTTATGTGGTATGTATTCTTAAATTATATATAAAAAGGTAATTTATAGACCGGTTCCATCCCTAGGGCAGTGCGGGTGTTGCTAGGTCTGAAGAAATTAGTTATTTTTCATCCTTCTGCCCGTCATTGTGTTTGATTACAACATTATCTTTTTGGTCCCACCCTCAAAGACTTCAAACATTTGATTATTTCATATATATGTGCATGGGCTTTATCTGTGATATAAAGTCATATTAAAGTAACAATGAAATTGCGCTGTCAGTGTCAGGTCAATAAAACTAACTAAAACATTTATTCAGGCCTCGGGCATCAGCTCCAGCCGAGCGTCTCTGGAGTCCGAAATCCACTACAGACATGGGAAGTGCTGCAAGACGTATTGAAGAACAGAGATGTCGCATGATCTTGTGAGTATCAAATAAAGTTGATGCTGCATGAAACTTATTCCAAATGTTCAGATAAATCACAATTTCAAATTAATACCTATTCTATAAGATGTTAGATAATTATGATAATGATGATGATGATTATGATGATGATAATGAGGATAATGATGACGACGATGGTGATGATGATAATGATGATTATAATGATGATCACGACGATGTTGATGTTGATGATGATGATGATGCCTTTAAACTTTTTCACATTTTGTATTTGTCTGTAAAAGGAGATTTCTTGGTATTCTTGATGACGATGGCGATTATGATGATGATGATAGTTATCATCCTATTCCGTTATCATCAATGTTTTTAGAACATTCGATAAATATATGTTAAAGATTTTTAAGTATTGATGCTAACGCTAATTCACATAATTTGTATGTGGACATGTGCATACTCATAAGTAAACATATAATTTTTCATACGTCTACAACCCTATATTCAACATTTAAGCCGAGGTCTTCCAACCGGTCATATATCAGGGCCTGATTATTGTTTAAGACCCAAAGACGGACCATTAGATGGACTTGAAGACGACGAGATAAACGCTGCGGCTGAACCGGAAGCTCAGTTTGCTCTAAACAACGAAAAAGGAAATGTGTCTATATTTTTTCTTTCTCATTTTCACCATGTAAGTTACAAAAGTAAATTACCTACATTAATAATTCTCAAAACCTTCTAAATATCTTTATACGTTTTGTATCTGTATATACGTATGCATTTTAATATGCCCTATAGACCAATGGTGCGTCTTCAAACTTTTTCACATTTTGCATTTGTTTGAAAAGGGAGATTTTTTGTATTCTTGAAGATCTTATTTATATTTGAAAACGTGCTTAAAAGCCATTTTTACAAAAGTGGGTCACATGGGTGTCTCTCGTTGGTCAAAATTTTAAAAACCTTTATACACAATTTAGAATCGGAAATTTAACCGTTAGAATCCATTATGTCTATAACTACACTATTAGTCTCTCCATGATGATTCTCCTTTTTCTGTATAGCTAAAATTATATTACATTCAAACATCAATAGGGACATTTTATATTATATATATTGGTACAGCCTAAATTATTAGAGTTGATTGAATGTTTTGATATATGTTGTTGATATATTAAACAGCTTCTTAAATTTGATTTCAGTATTTACCATTTGTGAATATTATGCTGACAGCGGCGGGAGTTTACATGATCGTTTTCGTTTCTGTGTGCCGCAGGAGAAGGGGATATGTTTTCTTTTGTCCAAATACGGCTTGAAAGCTATATCCAAAATATCAAAGGAAACTGCTACAGGTCAGCTGGAAGTAGGAGACTGTAAACATTTGATACAAACTTGTAAGACTGTCATTAACATGAGTCTAGCAGACGACATCCAACGTGCTCGATTATGTCACAACTGGAGACGATGTTATGACCGATGATTCGGCTTTGAAATACATATGTATATCTGGTCTTGCACTCTTGATGGTCACAAATAGATTCATGCGGAAGGAAGTGATAATGCAAGAATTGAAAATTTTTAGATTTTAAGATTATAGTAAAATAGTAAAGTTTGATGTGTAGAACTTGCAATATATACATGTAGAATATACGATAAAAGGCCGTTTTTCGGCAATATCTTAGTTTGAAATCCAAGAACGTATCTCTCTATATAGTACACATGTGTTAGGATAAAAAAGTCCATTTTAGGCTAAATTTAACAGATTTTTGATATTTGTGCAATGACTTGAAGTACAAGAGATTATATGATATTACTCAGTACTGTTTTAGTTTCTATAAAGTTTTTGGTTAATTATTTTGAATTATTGCAGTTACTGCTACTGCTAAGCTGAGCACTACTGTTGTTGCTACAACAGTAATATTACTTTTATCTACACTAATACCACTGTACTGCTTAAACTGCTTATGCTGCTGCCATTGTTGTTGTTGCTGCTGCTATTATTACCTTTATCTTCACTAGTCTACTACCGCTGTACTTCTGAAACTGATACTGCCTTTACCTCTACTAACCCTTCTAAAACTGATATTGCTGCTGCTTCCTTCTACTGCTATAACCTTTGTCTCTACTTCTACCACAGTACTGCTGGTTCTGCTATCACTGCTGTTTGCTGCTGTTATAAATTAACCTCTACTATTACCGCTACAATGCTGAAACTGCATTCTCTTCTTCTGCTATAACCTTTATTTCTACTACCGCTGAACTCCTGTAACTGAAATAACTGCTGCAGTTTCCACTACTTCTGCTATTACCTTTATCTCTAATACTTCCGCTGAACTGCTGTAAATGAAATTACTGCTGCAGTTGACACTACTTCTGCTATTACCTTTATTTCCAATACTACCGCTGAACTCCTGTAACTGAAATAACTGCTGCAGTTGACACTACTTCTGCTATTACCTTTATCTCCAATACTACCGCTGAACTGCTGTAAATAAAATGACTGCTGCTATTGCTACTACTACTGCTATTACCTGTACCTTCACCGCTACCTCTGTATTGCTGAAGCTGCTAACGCTATTACTGTTGCTGCAATTGCTATATAACATTCACTACTACTGCTACACTACTTTTGGTGCTTCTGCTGCTACTTCTCGTATCGGTGCTTCAAGAGAATACAAGCGCTTCTACTGACGAAACTGCTATTACTACGACTGCTTCTTAATTGGATATTTATTATTAATGATTAAATAAATAATGTGCTAAATCATCTATTTAATACGTATACGTTATAGTGTTAGTCTTTGTATAAACAGTGCCAAAGAAAAACTTCTCTGAAACTTGTATATAGTTAGCTCGGATTAAACTTCGTGCCTCGCACAAATCAGGGCATTAATTATATCCACTGGAGTTTCAGATTAAAGTTTCATTTTAAATGTATTAACCCCATTTTGACATTTGTTGTTTGTACATGATTATAATTTTGCCTTCTTCAATTCACTGGTCTAGTCATTGATATTTATTATTTCATTCTACATTTTGAAGTTATTGTTTATATATTATTGATATTTATTAAAATATCGCGGCATTATTTATTAGAATAAATGTTAAATTTCAAAGACGCTGCTGGTTTTCTTGTGGTCATAATTTATATGCTTCTGTGTAGCCCTATATGTAGATTGCTCATGCGCCAGAAAATAAAACATTTTATGTAAAATCAAGGCATTTAATTTGCTGTAAATGACAAGCCCGAGAATTTTGATGTTGAAATTGTCGAAAAATTCGAAAATATTGTTACCGAATCATCATTAAGTATTTAACCCATTAATGCATGAGCATTTTGTAAAAATGGCTGTTTTCATTGAAAAGCCTCCTTACAAGTTCAGATTGCTATGAAACTATAATTTTTAAGATGCTTCAATATTCATCAAACTTGGCACAAATGTTGACTGCACCATGGCCTTTTTGGCACAAATGTTGACTGCACCATAGCCTTTGTAACGGCATGCTCATTCTTACATTTTCCGTAACCATGGCAACGGGGGGATATCTCAAAATTGCCAAAAATCACTATTTTGCGTTGAGTTTTTCCATCCAAACTGATTTCAAAGTGCTGCAACTTCTTAATGGATTGAGATATAGAGATATAGGCAAAGGCTTTTCAAACTGAGCCAATTTTAGCCTCTCGATCACAGGTTCAAAATATTCTAGGCGATAAGGGGGGGGGGCTGCTGCCCCCTTCAAATCACCAAACAGAAGGCAGAAGGAGGCACATCCCTCCTCTGGTAATATAAATCCTTGATGATATTCACAGAAAATTGTAACTATCAAAACATATGATTACAACGTTTTGTGACTTTTTTGTCACATAAACAAAAGGAACAACAAAATGTGTGTCCATTCAGGAGTATATATTCAATAGCTCTTTAGAAAAAGAATTTTAAGTTAAAAGAAAAATATTGCAAGACAATTTTGTTTCCGTTCGACCAGGTTTTAGTATATATATACAAATTTATTTTAATTCGATTGTGTTGGAAGCTATAAGCTTATTTTATTGAAACCTCTGGTCAAATAAAGGTTTTATTGAAACCTCTGATCAAATATTGGTTAAACATTACAAAATCCCTATTAAGATGACAATAAAATTAACAAGTTAAGGTTAGGGATAGAAATATTTAGATTTTAATGGTGTTCAACTGCTACGTTAAAATTTAGTAGTCTGTTAAAATTTAGAGGTCTCTTTCCATATATATTTCATTTCTCATGCATTAAAAATTTTACAATCACCAACCAACATCCGGAAGCGAGGCTTGACGTCCCACGGTACCACCAGACTGGCAGTTTTGTAGGGTATTCCTACAATTTTACCAAGTCAACGTCGAGTCATATTTTCTTATTCTCCATTTCACATCGTTTTTCATCAACCATTATAATGTCCGAGTCGGAAGTATCCATCAGTGTCCAGGAAATCGCCGACAGTCTTCCAGCTGACGAGAACACGAACAACGTGAGTGATGCACTACCCGATACAGTCACAGAGACTTCCTTATCTAAATCTTTACCCGTCTTACGTGTCGAAGAGCTTAAGGATGAGCTAAATAGTAGTTTCTCCTACACAAGTGGCGAAGAGGACCACAGCCCACACGCGTCAGATGACCCAGAGAGGAAGGACAACCAGGAGGAAGATTTTGTTCCTCCAACTGATGAACTTAAAGACAAAATAATCAAACAGGTTGAGTTTTACTTCTCTGATGCGAATATTTTAAAAGATGCTTTCTTGCTTAAACACGTGAGAAGAAATAAACTTGGTTATGTGAGTATAAAATTGATAACATCCTTCAAGAAAATGAAAAGTTTGACTAAAGATTATCGTGTAGTAGCTTACAGTCTAAGACAGTCGGAGCAGCTAGAAGTAAATGAGGAAGGCAAGAAAGTTAGAAGAAAAAACCCAGTACCAGAATATGATGAAACAACGCCCTCGAGATCAGTGCTGGCAATAAACTTGCCAATGGAGACCCCATCAATTGAGAATATTGCTGAAATGTTTTCGAAATGTGGTGAAGTAGCCCTGATACGCATTCTTAAACCAAATAAGTCTATTCCTCAAGATATTAAAAAGCATTCTAATAAACATCCTGAAATTGGTACAACTACTTGTGCTGTAATTGAGTTTGAAAAACATGAGCATGCTAAAAAAGCTGTAGATACAATGTGTGATAAAGATGATTGGAAGAAGGGTTTGCGGGTTGTGCTGTTGTCTGAAAACAAGAAAAAGGCTGAGAAAGCGAATGATAAAGATCATAATGAAAAACGTGATGTTCATGAAGGTAGTGGTGATGATGATAAAAAGAAAAAAAAGAGGGGTGGTAGAAGAAATAAAAATAGACATTTAGATTCAGCCCATCATGAGGATTCGGCATGTTATAGCAGTGGTTCAGAACATGATCCGCCAAGTAGGCAAAATGCTTCACTGAGTCCGAATCATTTTGATGGAAATAAGTTGAGTCCTACAAATAGCCCCAGATCTAGTCCAAGGTCAAGTCCTATGACCAGTCCGAGAAGTCAACGCAGAAGATTAGGTCCTCATGGAAAGTCACCTTTGGCAGAGCATAGCCCTGGAAGTAGTCCGAAACCAAGTCCTAGAAGTAGTCCTGAGAGCAGCAGGAAACGTTATGACTATTCTTCAGGTGGTGACAGTACACCATCAAGTCCTTGGGTTCAGAGACGCTTGAAAGCAGCCCAAGAAATGAGTAAGAGCCCCTTAGTTGGTAACAGTCCAGTTGGTAGTCCATCATTAGGAAGGAAGAAATTAGCAGATTTAGGCGGTCTGATAAGGCAGCCAAAAGGACCTGATGGTACTCGAGGTTTCCATCTTGGACGTGGGAAACCAAGAGCAAGTACTTTCTCGTGAATGATCATATCATTGACATGATGGCTTTAGTTTTGTTATCTCAAAAAAAGTGTGCTTCACTTGATGAGTGTGCCAGACATATTGTTTCAAAGTAAAGACAGTTCTTCGTTGTTTCATTCTGAAGGGGAACAGTAGTTTGAACCATTGATTAGGAGTTAATTAAAATACATTTTCTTTGTTTCTCTAAATGAAAATTGATGTTCAAATTTGAAGCAAAATATGATTTTGCCAATGTTATTTCTTTTCTTTTTTTGTATATTACGAGCGAAAATGTCTTTAACATTATTATTTAATGCTATTCAAGCAAATGCTCTAAGTAAATAATTGTATCCTGGTAAATCAGGATGTCTGTATATTGAGTGAATTACTGGGATTTGGTATCACTAGTTAATGTTGAATATTACTGTTGTTTTGCATACATGTGTGTGCTGCTTGAGTGTTATACCTTAATCATATTGACGTAATGTGATGTATAAAGAATCCCATTGTTGTTAATTACATTGACCTGTTTGATACATCTATAAATACATGATAAAGGAATAATTTGATCTGAAATAAATCTATTTTGCCACAACCATTTTAATATGTTTTAAATTATTTCAAAAGACAACATATGACATGTATAATATTTTTTTACATTATTTTGATAGAAACAATTACCAGGGCAAGTTTTTCTGGTGGTTTTAGGTACTGCAAGAGCAGCTATGTCGGATTTTATCATTTGAAGGAATTTTTCTTAACTTAATCATTCATATTATAATATCATTATAATTTTATTCCAATGTTAAAAAATGTTGTTTTTAATGCTTTGGTTGTCTTTTATTCAGCTAATAGTGTATAAACTACAGTAACATATTTTAATATACATGTGTCTACATATTTATAGAAAGAACCAATTTACATCTTTTTTTCCCCTGAATCTGTTTGGTTTTTAGCATTTCTTTGAAACAAAATCTTCTTGCCACTAATGGCTGTGGGTTAAAAACCCTACAGTGACTTCAAATTATTTCATGTGAGGAAGCTATCCAGCTAGCTTAGGGAACATAAATAATTCTAGTAAGGTGCCTGTTTGTGTCTGAAATATTGCACGGAAGGGCACCTGAGGTCTTCCTTCACAAGTAAAGCTGAAAAGTCGCCATATGACCTAGTGTTGATGTGATATACAACATAACCCAAAAAAACCCAAGATCATTACTGTTTTGTGTTGACAGCAATATTTTCCTGTTGGTTTCCCCCAAATGAACAGGAATGTGGTGGTAGTTACTAGTCATAAAAAACACATTATTAAAGTCATCATGTTTTTATTCACATATCTGTATATATTATAGCTTTATATTTTAGGTCTTACCATATTTTCATTATGTCTATAAAGTTGTAACATTTTACATGAGCTATTGGTACTTGTGTTTGTTTTAATCATTATAATTGATCTGTTACTAGAATTGATTTATTTCATTATTGACCAATGGCATCACGTTTCTGTTTTTGTAGAAGCACAACTTTCAGTAAAACTGTAACATCATGTATTTTGAAAAAACTTTGATGCTTGACTGTCGGAAATACAGGTAATGATCTCTTGATAAAATGGAAAATGATGTTTAAGTTGGTAATATAAATGTTAAGAATATGTTGAGTTTAAACACAAACAGGTATATTGAAAAAAACAACAAAACGAAACCAAACCAGTTTGTATGAGGTAATAATAATAGACAAACAAAGTTTTTGGGTCATCGATTACTACTTAATAAAATTGTCCATTAAATTTGTTTTTACTGTTATTAAAAAGCAGAGCAATTTATTGGTGACATTTTAAAGCAATTTCATATTTTTTATTCTACATTTGAATTCATTTACGTCATCAATAAGGCTTACTAGTTTTATGTTGTTTGTTTTTTTGAAGCATAACAGAAAAATGTATATTATCATATATTGTGGGTGATTTGTCACAATGATTTTGAGTAATGGGCTCATCACTTGTCATCTGCCAAAAAAAGTAGCATTGTTTTTTCAATAGACTGGTTTAAAGTCCCTCTGCTTTTGAGATTTGGATAGTATTTGGTGAGTTACGGCAAATTTTGCATTAAGAATCCCACCCTAAAATCCCACTGTGATCACCAATTAGTTGCATTCTGAACCAGGCAATAAATGGTGATTATAATAAACTGGTGTGGTTTATTTTAATTGTAGCATTTCTTTTGATTTTTATGCCACCGCAGCATCTGCGATGCGGTGGCATATAGCGATTCACCTGTGTGTGTGTGCGTGTGTTTGTTTGTTTGTTTGTGTGTGTGTGTGTTATATAGATTATATAGTGAACTTAAAAAATCTTCTTGTGAAAAACCACTAGTCCAATTTCAACCAAACTTGGCAGGATTGATCCTTGGGTGAAGGGGTTCCAAAGTTGTTCAAAGAATTTCATTCCATGCAGAAATCTGGTTGCCATGGCAACCAAAAAGAATTAAAAGAATAAATTTAAAAAATCTTCTTGTAAAGACCCAAAAGGCCTAGAGCTTAGATATTTTGCATAAGGCATTGTCTGGTAGACCTCTACCAAGATTGTTCAAATTATAGCCCTGGGGTCAAAATCGGCCCCGCCCCGGGGGTCATTGATTTTCACTATATGTACAGTACAGCTCGCGCGGAATGTACTTTTTTCCTTTTCCCTCCGCGGAACTTGGGAGGAAAATCGCCGAGAAACTCCATAAAACTCCGCAATTTTCGGAGGTGTCGCGGAGACAGAAATTCGCCGAAAGCGGCGGTATTTTACTTAAAAAACGGTGTATTTCAGTCCTCAGCGATTCTCCGTGACTTTTCTTTCAATTGGTGCAAATAAAATTCATAAAAATGATCAAAATAAAAGAAATTGTTTCTTGTAAATGTATGTTGTAGATCTACTTTCGATATTAGCAAGGATATTATCTGTTACCTGGCCGCGGTATTCCGGACCATTGCACACGTGTTTATATTTATACCTATGACATAATAATAGAGATGAGCGTATATTATATCATATGCATATGTATATTATTTAAACTTGATGAATGCAGACTTGTTCATAATTTTATGAGACACCTATTATGCGTTGTCTTTCAACGAATTTATTTCAAACAATTCATGTTAACAGAAGATCTAAACTTTTGTAAAAGTGATTGTTGTTGTTGTTCTTGTAGTAACTGTGTACGGTTTTAATGTTAGGCCTAATTGTTTTTGTGTATCATCAAATTCAATACATTTATATACATGTTTATCTTTAGATCCATCGTCTCTTCCCGTGGGTCATTGATTTTCACTATATGTACATATAGTAAAAACTTAAAATACCTTCTTGTAAAGACCCAAAAGGCCTAGAGCTTAGATATTTTGCATAAGGCATTGTCTGGTAGACCCTTACCAAGATTGTTTAAATTATAGACCTGGGGTCAAAATCGGCCCCGCCCCGAGTGTCATTGATTTTCACTATATGTACATATAGTAAAAACTTAAAATACCTTCTTGTTAAAGACCCAAAAGGCCTAGAGCTTAGATATTTTGCATAAGGCATTGTCTGGTAGACCCTTACCAAGATTGTTCAAATTATAGCCCTGGGGTCAAAATCGGCCCCGCCCGGGGGGTCATTAGTTTTCCTTATATGTATATAGTAAAAACTTATAGTAAAAACTTTTAAAAAATTTCTTCTAGCAATTGACAAATGCTAGAGGTTAGATATTTTGCATGAAACATTGTGAAGTGAACTTCTAGCAAGATTGTTGTTGAATTATAGCCCTGATGTCAAAATTGCCCCCGCCCCAGGGGTCATTGATTTTAAATATATATATATATAGTAAAAAATCTTATTGTCTGAAGGTACAAGGCTTAGAGCTTTAATATTTGTTAAATGATATCATCTATAGGAACTCTACCAAAGTTGTTCAAATTTTGCTTCTAGTGTCAAAATTAGCCCCGCCCCGGGGGCCATAGGTTTTCCTTATATGTATATAGTAAAAAATTAAAAAAAATCATTTTCTCTCAATTTACAAAGGCTAGAGTTAAGATATTTTGCATGAAACATTGTGTAAGGAACCTCTAGCAAGATTGTACAAATTATAGCCCTGGGGTCAAAATTGGCCCCACCCCCAGGGGTCATTGATTTTCACTATGTACACATAGTAAAAAAATAAAAAATATTTTTGTCTGAAGGAACAAGGGATAGAGCTTTGATGTTTGCTATATAATATCATCTATAGGTCCTCTACTAAAGTTGTTCAAATTTTTCCCCTGGTGTCAAAATTGGCCCTGCCCGGGGGCAGTGATTCTCATAATGTACACATAGTAAAAACAGAAAATAAAACAAATGTTTTCTGAAAGCTACAGCTTAGATATTTGACTTGAAATGTTGTTTGGTGGACCTGTATCAAGATTGTTTTGAATTAAACCCTTGGGTCCAAAATTTTGCCTTGCCCAAGGGGACAGTGACCTACTTTCTTGTCCTTTGATGTACAGCAATGAAATTTTGACCATGTGCACAGTTTTAGTTGTAAAATTGAACTTTGATATCAGGTGACCTAGATTTTGTTGATGTGACCTACTTTCTTGTCCTTTGATGTACAGCTATGAAATTTGAACCCTGTGCACAGATTAAGATGTAAAGTGAACTTTGATTTCAGCAGACCTAGATTTTGACAAAGTGTCTTACTGTGTTGTCCTTTTGATGTAGTCATGAAATTTAGGCTGTGTGAAATAGGCTTCACCACCAAATTCACTAGACTCGAGTGCATTGATATACAGTAAACTTCACTTATAGCGAACACGGTTATAGCGAACTTCCGGTTATAAGGAACAATTTATTTTGGCCCAAATTTTGCCCTTCTTTATTTAATATAAAAATATACGGTTATAGCGAACACGGTTATAAGGAATTATCGCTTATAAGGAACTCATTTCTTAGTCCCAATTTAGTTAAAAGTGCATAAAATTATACTTTTATAACGAACTCCAAATATCGGCTATCCGTAAATATATCCCGCATTTCAACTTTCGTTGAATGTACCGTTTATTGTTGTATGTAATTCAATATATGAAAATGAATTTGTATAGAAGTATGTAATAGTTTTCTATTTTGGATATTTTTAGCTTGAGTTCTTGTCACAAAGATAAAACGGTAATTCCTTTTATTCTATAATTTCTTTTCTTTAATAGTTTTGCTCAGGTAAGATAATTATCGGTTTTCAACATAATCACACATGCTTGCAAACATAATCCATAGAAAACTACAAAGTATGCTTGATTGAAATGAAAAGAAATCTATATATTTCATAAGTTCAAGTCACCCTTAAAATATAATAGAAGATATTCAATATAAAAGGAAGAAAAATGGTTTATTCTCATTCATTGAAAGAAAACGAAAAGCACTGAGTTAAGAAAGAAAATATGATTTTTTATGAAAAATTGAGAAAGGGAGTAAAACTAAAACTGAAATAGCAAATGATTTTCAAATTCCAAAATGTACACTCTCGTGTATTGTGTCTAAAAAAGAAATAAATGACTTATTATTCTAAATCAAATGCTCTTAAAAATGGCAGACGATGTTTAACAATCAGTTCGTTATATGTAAATCTGTTCGCTATAAAAATTCCTGATACAAGGAACTAATTCGCTATATGCTTACAAGGAACTCCGGATATAAGGAACAGATTTTGAATGTCCCAATGAGTTCGTTATAAGCGGAGTTTACTGTATTCCTACTCTGATCTTTTATTGAGTTAACATTAGATTTAACCACTTATCTGATAATAAGAATAAGATAGGTCAGGGATCTATGCTTTATGACAATCTTCAAAATTGTAAAGAAACAATAAAAATCTGTTCCTACACTACTATTTAGTGTTGTATTAATGCGGTGGCATAGCATTTTTCTCAAATGCAATCTTGTTTTATAATTGTTTGGTGCATTGTTGAATGTTTTTTCCGCAATTTGAAACCTGTATGTATGACCTTGTGTTAATGTTGTTTGTTAATGTATGAATTAATATTTTAGAAGTACTCAATGAAACTAAAAAAGATAAATAATATTAAGAAAAGAGTCCGGGTGAGAATTGTTTTTAACAGATCTGTTTGCTAGTTGCAATGCTGACTTACCTATGTCACTGTGTAGATAAAAGATTTGATTTGCACATTGTCACAGTTGGACCCCTGGTCAACTGGCTGTATACAGTTTGCTGCTCAGTTTTTGGGATTTGATGTGAGAATGATGAATGTTTTATGATAGAAAGTCAAAATGTGACAAGTTCCTTGATATGATGTCAGTATCGTGCATGTTAAGGACAAGAAGTACCTCCCTAGAAGGGAAATACATGTGTATTTGATTTGGTATGAAAAAGATATTTCATTGTTGTATGAAAAAGATATTTCATTGTAGTGTATATAATCTATTCGTAGACATATTTTAAATGAACCTTCTTAACAGTTATATTATTTTAGAGAGAATATGCACATTTAGATATGTACAAGGAAAATGTACAGATATAAGGAAATATTTTTTTTCAATACATGATCATGATGGGATTGAATTACACAACATTTTGTTGCTAATTTTCAAGTTTGAATTGCAATAAGCTCTGATATTTTCTGATTTTTTTTCTACTTTTTTTGATCAATTTGGGTCATGTAGGCAGTTGGAAAGTATGCAGAACTTAATTTTACGATGATTTTACTGTATATATGGTACTGCTCAAATGTTTTATTTGTTGTTGTTTTTTGTTGTTTTACATTCCAAATCTGTAAATACAGAATGCCACTTGATTTGTGCAGGTCAGCACTTTTAAGGGTAACATTGTTTTTGTTTGGTTTTTTTTCTAAAAAAAAAACAATAATGGCAAGAAGCTGAGAGCAATTTCTAATTCATTGTACCATGATATTGAGCCAATTTATATGTTTTTACACAGAATTCCACAAAAAATCGGGTGCTACCCATCTAGAACTTCTCGTCAATATCATTCAGATAATTTGGTCTTTCAGCTGTGATATATGCATTTTTATTTTTCTATAATTTTTCCATAGAATCTCGAATATTTGTACTCCTCACAGCGCAGTGTACTCATACTATACCTGTTGTTGCCTGTTTGTCTCCATTGTTGTCCTCAATCTTTAAGCCATACTTTACATTGAAAGGGCCTAAGTTGGATAAGATATCAATTAAGATAAACTATTTTTGGATCAAAATGATTACCTTTACTTTAGGGCAAAGTTTTAAATTTACTATTTAACATTTGGGTTGTTGAACTTTAAGAAAGATACAAGAGACAATGGACCTTTGGTATTATTCACTTAGTAAAGTGAATTTTTTTCATATTAAAAAAAAGTGCCAAGATAATGTCGCCTTTGAGAACTTCATATCTGAAAAGAAAAGAACAAATACTGCTAGTTAAAAGATAAATTTCTAGATAGCAAGTGATTGATTTTTTTTTTCAAGGCAAAATTTGATTTTTATTTTTTTACTTACATAATAGAAAGATAAGATTTGAAAAAGGTTTTAGATTGAAATAGCTTGTTTCTTTGAAATTAAGCCTTTTAGTGTAATTAAGGTGACATAGCTTTGTAAGTTTTATCATTTAATTTTAAATGTTTTTTTAAAAACATGCTTTTAATGTGTAATAACTAATATGGTTAATTAAAAAAAAAATAGATATAATATTGATATTTCATTATTTGCCTTATTGGTCAAAATAAGAAAAAAAATGTTTACAGGTACATGTGAACTTTAAAATGTTAAAAGTTACTCTATGTTATTATGACATGACATTGAAGGAAAAAAATATATTTGAGAAAAAAGAGATCATTTCTTTACAACTATGTTTTATTACATTAGTCATGAAATTAATTCAGAAATATATGCTATTTATTTACAAAAATAGACCTAAATATTCACCTTTCTGTGCTTGGAATGAGAGAGGAAATGTCCCTCATTTAACTGCTTTTATAACTGCCAAAATAAAAAGATATTGTACATGTATAAATGATAAGATTGAATGACATGGTACATATTTATTAGTTTGCATCTGTGAAAGGATGATTTGTTGTTTTTTGTCAATTTTAAAGGTGAATTGTTTTGTATTACATACCAAAAATGAATAAATGTTTTCTTTTTTTCACTCAGTGTGTTTTTTCATTGCATAGAGTTGATGTTTCTAATGTAGAAAGAACTACAATTTCATTGCAATGTTGTAGAAAAATAAATATCTGGTGGTTTATAAGTAACTGTTTAAATAATAGCCTGATGACAACAACAGGTTCTGCCCTTTCAACCAGTGCAGACCACTATCAGCCTGCACAACCGTGCCTTCTGATCATGGTCTGCACTGTTCCGCTAATCAGTCGGTACATATTTTGAAATTTTCCCTAACACTGATGAATGGTATTGTCTAGATTATGTTAAAAATGGACAAGTCCACTTAGATATATACTATAATATAGGGTGGTAAAGGTTAAGAAAATCCCATTAAACTTTCCTAATGATAAATTAATGCTGATCTTCAGTGTTGATAATTATCCTACAATCAATAAAATATGCTTGAATTCAATTCATTTACGAAGGTCTATGCAAGGTGCTAACACTGTATACAAACAACATTAAAAACATAGAAATTGATGTTGATTTATATATTTTAAGTCACATGACCTGTGACAATTAATCATACAAAAAATGTAATTTTTCGATATAAAATAAAGTGAGATACTTGTATAATGATAGTACATGTATAATGATATATACTATACATATATATACTTCTACATTATTACACTATAACTTTAATTTTCCTTTTTGGTACATCATCACGCTTCATAACCATTTATCTCCTTTAAAAAATGCCATTTTGATTAGTTCCATCCATCTTGTTTTAGGGCCAGGCATTCTTTTACTTTGATGTTTCTAAATTCAAAATTTCACCATTTTTATGTGGGAAGTGTTGAATTCAGGGACAGTAGCTTGCAAATTTCCTGTATCATTCAATCAAACTGAGCCTGCAACATTTTCAATCTTGCACTTTTGGGTGTTCTTTAGGGATTCTGTTTTTTTTTTCCTCTTACTCAAAGGTTAGCAAGTTGAATCATTTCTCCATATTTTTTCCCTGAGAAGAAAGATTAATAAAACAATTATTTTCTCTTATGTTTCACACATACTTACATTATGACTGGATGAATCTTTAATGTTAATTGTGTGTCATTTACAGTTATAATTGTTTTCTAGATAAAAGTTATATGTTGACCATTGTTATTTTCACAATAAAGGTCAAACTGAATGTGTTTATTTTCATCATATTTTACACTTGATAGTATAAACATGTGTCATATCAATTATTCAAAATACCTTCAGGCAAAGATTTGATAAATTAACTGAATTATGATTATGTAAGAATCTATTGGTTTTAATTGCGTATCAAAATGAGGTTTTAACATATGTGTTAAATCTTAATGAAAACATAAGGGACTTATGAATTTTTTAGTACTTGGTTGCCAAAATAAAATGAGAAAAGAGTTGCAGCTAGATTCAATGTCAGAAGACCTTGTTTACAACACAAGATGTGAAATAAATTTATCTTGTTTATGTTGTCATCAAGATAATAAACATTGAAGGTCGAAGTGGTTGCATTTATCAGAATGTTGATGAATCCCTTACATAAATATGATTACATTACATGATCATAAAACTGTCGCACTGAGACATTAAGACAATATACAGCTTATACTGTAAAGACATTACAGTAAACAAGATAACCGCAGACTCTACGTTAATTAGATATGTAGTAAATTTTCTTGCCTCTTGTCATTCATTTTTACAACAGTGCAAGTTTTTTTGAAGTTAATAGCATTTAATACCATTGTATTTGTATTCACATGCTAATTAATAAAGTTAAGTTTTTTTCTCGTTTTTTTTTTAGTGTATGCTCATTTAATGAAATACTAAAGGGTCACTTTAATGACTTACTAATCATCCCACCTATGTTTTTTTCTTTTTTTTACAAATGTCTTTCTAACATAATTATAGGTGATCTTTAAGAACTGTTTATTTAGAGAAAGTTAGACTGGAAATATAATAGTAAGTCTAAATGAATACGATGTTTAGACAGGTGACAAAATGTCGGTTTTAATCGGCATGCCTACATGTATATTTCTAATTTGTTTAAAAGTTAGAATGTGCTAAATGTAAAAATATTACAAATGAACAAATAAAGTAATTGCAATTTAACAAAGAATAAGGTACAGACAAGCCACATAAGTTACCTTAAAGTACAATGGTAGTTTTGGGTGAAATATGATGATAATTTTGGTGCAATCTAGCATATAATAACATGTGATATGATATATGAATATTTGATTTTAAACATTACTTAAATATAAATTGACTTTCTACAGTTAGATTATTTTAAAATTGTATTGGTTTATCTGAAGGCTTGCTGTATTAAAACATTGTTTTTGTTGTTTAACCCTTAACCTGCTGAATTTCTTAAATGGACTTTTCCGATTTTCATTTTGGAACAGTCCATTATCAATTTTAGGTATATCAAGGTGAGAATTTGAAGTTGGCCAGCCAACAGTATAGAGCCTGGTCAGACTGCACTGATGTACAGGCCTGTCTGGCTCTATACTGGTGGCAAAGACTAATCACTTTCGCCTTCAGCAGGGTAAAGGTTAAAAGTTAAAGGTGATGTAGATCTATGGTGAGACAAGTTACTGTTTTATTGCAATATTTATGTACAATATTTGATATGTGCTCATAATAAATATAAAAAAAACTACAACTTATGTTTTCCTTAAAGCAGCATGCCTCCAGATTCATGCTAATTTTCATGAAAATCTTAAAAATGTATTTAAAAGTAAAATGCATGTATTGTGAAGTGAACAAAGAAAATAATGTACATATTGCAAACAGCACTTGCAATCAGTATATAAATTACCAAATAGAGGTCAAAATAATCAAAATTATTATTGCTGTGTTAGTAATGCAGTAGAAATATGATGATAAATATACTGCAAAATCAGCTGTTAATCACACATGTTAATTCTTACTTGAATGTTAAATAATTTTACTTTTCTTAGAATCTTAGTCCATTTTTCTTTAGTTTAATTTTCTTGAAATATTTTGGCTCATCTGCAAGCATGCAGCTTTAACTTTAAAAAACCTGGTTTCAAGTAAAACCTTACTAAGGCAATATATAAGAAACCTTGCCAGGACATTAGAGTATGAATTAAAATTAAACTTTATTAGATTTTGTCTATGATTAAAAACTTACTGAGATATGATGTCTAGACAACTGTTGTTGAGAAATTTTAAGAACTTAATTGCCCTCTTACACGTGGGTGGAACCCCATATGTATCTCAAAAATGAGCATCGGTAAAAATTATATGTGAATTTCCGCTGCACCAGATGTATGGAACAGAATTAGTGCATTTATTCAATCTTTGGACTTACATTATGCTTGATTCTATACTTCTTTATGACAATGGAAACCTACGTATTGCTGAATACAGTCATGCATTATGATTACTGAATGCACTATCATGTAATCGCAACTTCATGTGTTCCTTTCTGAACCATTAAACTCACATATTTAATATGCTATATGTTTAATTGCATCTTTTTTAAGGACAGCGTATAATGTTCGGTGTTAAAGATAACATTCTTTGCTTGTTCTTGATATAACTAGATGTTAAATGT